TGGCCTCATGTATCAGTAAATTTTTAGTACAGTACTTTTTGCCCAAATACCTAAGTAAATTCATATGCTAGATTGAAAGAGGTCACAAAGTGGGACTTATTTCTACTGTTATTAATAATAAAATCATGCCATACCTTTCCTGACTATCACATTGGGAAATGAAGACAAGGGCCAAAAGTATATGTTATAAGTAATTGACTAACAGGTTCTGGGTAAGATGGCTAAATCCCATCTGTCATCAGAGTTGAATAGACTGATTTCACAGCCAAACTGGGTTATATATTAAATATTTAATGTCCCCATCTGCTTCCAAAAGGACTTGAAGCAGCTTAAAATTCAAAACAATTTAAGCCATTTTAGGAATAAAACAGAAAAGAGATTATCAGAATAAATGAGTAACATTTTCTTAGTGCTTTGCAAACACTATTTTATTTAATCCTCAGCCTTTGAGGGAAGTAGTATAGGTATTATTGTTCCCCTTTCGTAGAGGAAGAAATAGGCCCAGAGGGTGAAGTAATTTCATAGAATCTGAGTTGGAAGGAATTTCTGGTCCATTACCTGTACAGGGATCCTTCTACATTGCAATATCACCAATCAGAGTAGAACAACCCCTAGGCTAGTGGTGAGGGCATATGGTGGGAGCTGGGCAGCACACTGCCTCCCAAAGAAGCCCCATTCTACTTTTGGAAGTTTTTCTTTATATCAAACCTAAATCCACCTATTATTCCTAGTTCTATGATATGCATCAAATCTTATCTCTCATTAAAGTGAGAACTTGTTAAGATCAAGGACTTCAGTGCAAATATTCTGATACCAAATTCCATGCTCTTTCCATTATACCTATATACGTCTTCAAGTCAGGAAACGTTTCAGGCATGAAAGAGGTGGGTTTGAGCTAAGCATGAATATGATTTGAATAAACTGAGGGAAGAGAGGACATTCCAGGTGAGGTGAACAACATGGACAAAGGCCTGGGGGCAGTCAGGAAGGAGTATGGCATACTTGTTGGATGGGACAGAGAGCAGCCTAAGTAGAAACAAGAGCCTGCACTGGGAAGTACTGTGAGTAGGCAAGGGCCATATTAGAGAAGATGTTGGTTTAGGGCTGGTTAGAGCCAAAGGTTTTCTGAACTGAAAAAAAAAATTATATAAACACCAAAGCATAATTGGAAGGGCTCTCAAAGGTCATCTATTTCAGACTGTCCCTGAGCAGGAATATCTGACAAGCAATCATATAGGTAGCCTCTCCTTAAAGACCTCCGGTGAAGGGGAACTCACTACCTACTGAGTTGTTCCATTCCATTATTGAATGTGATAGACTCTAATTAATGATAGGTGATAGACTCTAAATAATTCCTTATGTCAAATCAAAATTGACCACTCTTTAACTTACACCAGTTGCTTCTAGTTGTACCTTCTGGGGCCAAGCATTGGGTTTGAACTTGAGTTCAATAATAACATTTTAAATAATAAAAATAATTCAATTTTTTCTTTAAAAATTTTTTTCAATTAGCAAAATTTTTTTCTCTCCCTCCTACTTTCCCCATCACTTTTGAGGCTGCTACATGGCACATTGGATAGTGTGTTGGGCCTATCAAAAACACCTTCAGTTCATATCTGGCCTCAGATACTAGCTGCGTAACCCTGGGCAAGTTATTTAACTCTGCCTCAATTTCCTCATTGAGATAATATTTGCAAAGTGCTTAGCACAGTGCCTGGCACATAGTAGGCACTTAATAAAGGCTTGTTTCTTCCTTTCTTTGAAAAGAAAAAAAGAAAAAAAAACAACCCTTGTGACAATATCCATAATCAAACAAAACAAATTCCCATATTGTCATGTCCCAAAAGTATATTTTTCATTATGCATTAATTTCAGTCTTTTGGAGGAGGTTAGCATAACAGCTTACATTTATATAGCCTTATATTTTCCAAAATGCTTTACATATTTTTATCACATTCTATCCTCACAACTACCTGGTGAGGTTGTCACTCACTGCAGAAACTGAGAAGTAAGAAGGTCACACCGCTACTAAGGTCTGTGGGTGAATTTGAATCCAGTTCTAGGTTGGACCAAGAGCAATGTTCCCTTCACCCTCCCCTTTAGCCATCAGCTTATTGACTCTGTGTTGGGCAAAGGTCTTTGGGGACTTTCTAATTCTCTCACTGTGTGAGATAGAGCCTAATAACTTACTTTGTCCTACCATCTTTTTATTTAATCCAACAAGCGTTTATCAGATGGTAACTATGTGCCCCTTCAGGATTATGAAATACAATGTTTCTTTAAGATACAGTTTCAAAGCACCTTCAGGCTATATTTAAGGAAATTGAGAAGACCTTTCCACTGCTTAATTGGCCAACTCTAGATTATTCAGGACCTTGTTTCAATTCAATTCAACAAACATTTATATTATAGATTAAAACTGACTTTCCTGTAGCACCAAAATAGCAGAGAATTTTCAGAGAATCTGCTTGCTGGACAATGCTATAGAAGGACCCAAATCCCTTATTTTACTGAACCAAGGTGTTGTGGTTGTTCCTCCTTCCTTCTCATAGAAGGAACCCCGCTTCTCAGAGTGGGTTTTCCTTTTGTTTAAAAAAGTGTTTTATGGACTCTTTCTTTCTGTTGCTTTGATTTTTTACTTCTTCCTGCCCCCATAGAAATCTTCCTAGTAATTTATTGCTCTTGTACTAAATAAATACAATCAAGCTAGACAAATAAGCTCATTGGCCATGTCTAACAATGAATGTTTTATCTTGTATCTGTAGTCTATCTCTTTGCTAATAGGCAGGAGGCTTGCTTCACAGTTAGATAAGGCAGTGATTAGCATTCTAATGTCTTTTCTTGTTTTCTTTTGCACTTATTGTGGTTGTCAAGTAAATTATTCTCTTTGACCTGCTTATCTGCTTTTTTGGTGGTTATTCAAAGCATTTATTAAGTATCCACTAAGTGCTGGGCCCTGAATTAGGCTCTGGAAAGATATATCCCAGGATTTAGTGGTGGAAAGAACCTATGTATTCAACTGAGTATCAGCTTTTACTCATGGTACCCCTTTTTCATAAAACATGGGACACTGTTTGGTAAATGATGCTTTTCCATTTAGAAAGCACTTTTACCTCTACTACCTCATTTCATAGGATCCTAGGCTCCTAGATTGAGAAATTCAGGTGATATTAGAGATTGTGCAACTCATTCCCATCCAGTTGCCTAGTCCTATTGAATCTACTTCCACATCTCTCACTTGTCCACTTCACTCCACCACCCTTGTTCCAGTTCTCATCATGATAAGCATTTCAAACTCAACATGTCTGAAACAGAACTGATTATCTTTCCCTCCAAAAAAAAAAAAATCCCCTCTTCTGAAGTTCTACATATCTTGTAGAGTTCTCTATGCCATAGACAGGTAGATGGTACAGTGGATATAGTCCTGGGTCTGGAGTCAGGAAGACCTGAGTTCAAATCCATCCTCAGACTTTTACTAGCTCTGTGACCTTGGGCAAGTCACTTAACCTCTGTCTGCCTCAATTTCCTCAACCATAAAGTGGGGATAGTAATGGCATCTACCTCTCAGAGTTGTTGTAAGGATCGAATAAAATAGTATTTATGAAAAACTTAGCATAGTGCTTGATACATAGTAGACACTTAAAAGATGCTTATTTTGGGGCAACGAGGTGGCACAGTGGATAGAGCACCGGCCCTGAAGTCAAGAGGACCTGAGTTCAAATCCAGCCTCAGACCAAACACTTGACACTTACTAGCTGTGTGACCCTGGGCAAGTCACTTAACCCCAATTCCCTAAAAGTTAAAAAAAAATTAAAATAAAAAAAAAGATGCTTATTTCCTTCCCTACTCTTATGAAGGGCACCACCATCCTTCTACTCAAGTTTGCCACCTCAGAATCATTCTCTACTCTTTCCTCTCCTTAACCCCTCATATCTAATCAGTTGCCAAGTGTCATTGGTACTACTTCAACAATAGATCTCATATCCATAACCTCTCCACTCACAAGGCCACCACCCTGCTGCAGGTCCTCATCACCTCTAGCCTACACTATTAGTTGCCTGGATCTGCTTGTGATTTTTCTAAGGGTGAGTGATTGGAGAGCAGAGGTCTTGCAATGCCCAGTTTGGGAAGCTAAAAATCATATATACAGTAGTCCAAACTGAATCCTGGTTAAACTGGTGAAGAAAGAGAAGGTGGAAATTATTGGCCAAAGTAGAAAATACAAGATTACCTTAAGTTTTATTCAACCAGTCAATCAATAGAACCCTTGCTGTATACAGAATGTTCTGCTGAGCACTGGCACAGGTACAAAATTTCAATAAGACATGATTCATATTCTTGGGAGCTTACCATCTAGTTGGGGAATGAGTGGCATACACATATAACTGTAATACAAAACTACATAATCAATCCATTCAAGAGGTATAAAATAAAATTTCATGTGAAGTCCAAGAGGGAAAGGTTGTTATTGACAAGGGATGATCAGGGAATACACATTTACTAAATTCTTACTCTGTTCAAAACATTTTGGGGTATTGAAGGTATACAGCAGAGATGTCAAAACTCAGGAGTGTAGTCAACCAGATTAAAATGTAGTTGGCAAATATTTAGCAAAATAAAAATACAGCACAACATAGTTAATGTTAATTTGTGTTTTTCTAAGTCAATCTGCCACTAAGCAGGATTCTGTTTCTATTTGGGTTTGAAACCACTAGTACAGTGTCGTTCATGCTCTGTTAATAAGGACAACGTGGTTATATTCTCTTCTCATTTTGGAAAAGAGACACTGTCATTTATATTCCTTCTCTGGATCCTTGCACAGTGCTGGGCCTCCATTAGAGGCTCAGGGACTATTTCCTCATTGCCTTGTGGATTAAATTAATGTGTTTCTCGACTTTCTGTAAAGTACCTATGAGACAAGGGTTTCATAAACTATAATTAGTATTGCCTTCTAAGATTGATTTGCTATTCCTAACATTTCTCCTTCTCTCCACAATCAGGTGAAAATGAAATCCTTGCAACCCTGCACGATATTGCAAGCAAGAATAAGATCTGGAGATCCTACATTGGCATGGGCTATTATAGCTGCTCACCACCTCAGGCCATTGTCCGGAATTTGTTGGAGAATGCAGGATGGTAATGTATTTTCTCAATAACAGTTTAGAAATTCAACAAACACTTTTGCTGTTATTGTTTTAATTTTAAGTTTAATTTTATTACTTTAGATGAACACAGTTTTATTTTATTTTCTTCCCATTTTCTCCCACCTTTGCCACTGGAAAAAAAAAGAGAAATAAACTCAAACTCCTTGTATAAAATATACTTAATAAGACAAATCAAATTTCTGCATTAACCACTTTTAAAAAGATATTCTATATCTTGAATCTATTACCTCTTTTTTCAGGAGGTGGGCAGCATGGTTCATCCTGGGTTGTTTGGAAACTTGCCTGGTCATTGTACTGATCAGAGTTCTAAATTGTTATTTTTCTTGTACAAATGGCTCTCCTGGTCTTGCTCACTTTGCTCTGCATCAGTTCATACAAGTCCTCCCGGGTTTCTCTGAAACTTTTTCATAATTTCTTATGATTTGCTATTTTTAAGGAGGATGGTGGGCTGTGATTTAATAGAGCACTGAATTTAGTCAGAAGAACTAGGTTCAAATCCCAACTCTCTTTCCATGTTAACATCATGTATTTAAATCTCAGTTTTATTATTTATAAAAGCAAAGGAGATGAACTAAATGATTTGTAAAGCTCCTTCTCAATCCTATAATTCTGCAACAGTTTGCCTTATATATAAGAAGAGTGGATGAGTAACAACTCATATATTGTGACTCTAGAATTGTCCCCTCCATCCCCAATATCTCCCCTACCCAATTATTACTCTGCTTAAAATTGTTCAATTAGAGATTCTTTCCTTTGAGTCTTATTTCTTTAGGGATTACTTTGAAAATGCAAAACATCCTCAGAAGAGTAAGACATGAAGCTGATTCATACCAAGTAATCTATCAAATCCTTCCTAAGGGAGCCAGTGGATCTTGGATATTCGTCTTGGGGTGGAGGAAAGAAAGGGAAGGGAAGAAAATAGTATTTAGGTAGTATTTACTACCTGCCAGACAATTTGCTAAGCACTTTTTTTTATGAATATTATTTCATTTGATCCTCAAAACAACTGGCTAGGTAAGTGCTATTTCTATCCTCATTTTACAGTTGAGAAAACTTGAGGCAAAGAGAGGTTAAGTGATTAGCCCAGTGTCACACAGCTAGTAAGTATCCAAGGTCAGATATGAACTCAGGAAACTTAGGAAACCAGCTATGGACCATTCGGCTCTTCCTCTCTACTCTTGAGATGAACCTTTCCCCTAATCTACTAATCTAAATTCTTTTAGCATGGTTCCTCTTAAGGCTCTGACTGTTCACTGTGCTTCTGTACTACACCCACATATGCTGTCCTTCATAAAGGAAAGTGGGTTTCTTTTTCACCATTGGTTGGCAATCATTTTGGGTTGTTTTCCTGTTCATAGGATCACTTCATCCTTATCCATATATATAGATGGATTTATCTCTATATCCACCCCTCTTCCAGTGATAATCAGAGCTTCATAGTTGAGAGAGAACGCATATGGGGCAGCTAGGTGGCGCAGTTGATAGAGCTCTGGTCTTGGAGTCAGGAGGACCTGAGTTCAAATCTGGCCTCAGTTATTTGACACTTACTAGCTGTGTGACCCTGAGCAAGTCATTTATCCCCGATTGCCTTACCAAAAAAGGAAAAAATGGAAGAGGGGACACATAAGAGAGAGTACTTGAGTTGAGCCATGAAGGAAGAAAAAGAAAGATTCTCTCTAAGGTCTCCTATGATCCTATATTAAAACATGTGACCATTTGATCTGTTTTTGGTTGCTGTTGTTTTTTCTAGCTATTCTGTGTGTGAGTGTTGCCATTGATTATTTATGGACATCAATGGGATATCTTTAAATATTAGGCCTGGTCTCATGACACGATCATAGTTATTTATCACTTAATATACAACACAGAGCTGTAATAAGGATTGCGCAATGGTGATTTTGGTTTTGTCGCAGGACACTGAACATAGAGTGCTGATAAAAAGCACAGTCCTGAGTTGCATAAGCTCCTACAGAGGTTTTATCCTTCTTTCTCTTCCCACCTGACTCATAGCCTCCTGGTAGTGATCTTACACTGGTTTGTCAGTCTTCACTTCACTCCAGGGGATGGTACCTCCCTTCTTATTTCTCAAACTGAAGTAGCATTTTGTGCTGCTATCCTTAGGCACAAAAATTCCTAGTCATGGCCCTGATACAGCAACTTCCATTTTCGTGTACTCAACTGGCTTGTTAATAACTGTTAGCTCAATGTGCTCTTATTAGATAAACAGATTTTTTAGGCTGGAGAAGTAATTACAAGAGTATTAGATTTGTATTAGCCATCTGAAATGGTAGTTTTTAGAAAGAGAGAAAGAGAATAGGAGAATGTGACGGTAAGGGTTTTTTCTTGGCTATTTCTTTGAATGGTATACCCTAAGCTTTGTCACAAAAGCAAATGGCTTGCCTTTTTCCTTCTTCAAAAAAAAAAAATCTGTCTTACCAAGTACAATGAATGGTTTGCGTTAGTTCAGCACTTTTAAATCCTGGCCAGCAGCATTTGCTCGGCCTTCCAATACAGATTATTCACCACATTGCTAGCATTGAGCGAGTTCCTTCACCTATTTTACACTGACATTTCAGGGGGCAATGACATCGTCCCTTGCCTGCTGGTCATGTCTGTTTCTGTGCATCTCACAGAACATCACCCTGCTCTCCTAAAGCTCAGTATAAACTGGGTGACAATTTTGTACTGTGAAAGGAGGTGGAGTAGCATGCTTGCACATGTTTCCTGATAGTCTTCACATTATCACAATTCTGAATGGTTTCCATAGAAGCAGGACTAACAAATTCTGGTGACGTGATGTGAAAACAAATGAATAGCTTAGCCTCGAAAGAATACAAATATTTGGCTTGCCAAAAAAAAAAAATACGTCAAGTCTAAGATTTAATTTTATGGGAATCCAGTATTTCTGATGGTAACGGCTTTGTAATTTTAGTAACTGACATGAAAGTGTGTGGGAAGGGGATTTTTCTTTTGAGCTATTTGGCTCTTCTATAGTTTTGCTTCCAGAATGGCAGCCGGGTGTTACCAGTTATGTCTTGCTGCCTCCCCTTCCCAATTCTAAAGGAAAGCCTAAGGCAGAATGATGGGGAATACTGATTACTTTAAAATAAATGAGGATGCTATATTGAGTGTCTGATGTTTCTGTGGAGTCTGTTACAGACTGGCTTTTTGTGTGTGTTGCTTTTTTTCTTAAAGCCAAAAACCTATTTAAGAAGCAAAACAGAGCTCTTGTAGGCTACATTTAAATAGCCAGCTGTAATATAGGAAGAATGGGCCAAAAACTTAGGTTTTTATTCTGTTTTTTTTCTCTATTGAAGCAGTTCTATCCCCTAATTAAAAAGTACACATGCCTGGGGGAGGGGGTGTCTTTTTTTTCCTGTGGAGTTATGCTAAAGAATTGGATGAATTCAAATAATAATGTAAGCAACTGAGAATTTGATAGTCCTTGAGTCTGAGATTTTGTTGGGTAATTTGTGAGATTAAATTTATTGTCTACTTGAACAAATTGAATACTTGTACAATTTCTTGAATAATTTTTAAAAGAAAAAGATGTAGGGTATTTAGGCATTTTAGGGGGGAAATTTATGTTTCTAAAGAGCTTTAAGATTTACTAAGCACTTTCTACTCTGAGGTATGCAAGGGAGAAAATATAAGCACCCATTTACTTACAAACTGTTGTGTTTTTCATCTTGAAAGGGAGCTTTCAAATACTATTTACTTAATCATGCTGATTAGCAGAAATGCAGGGTCCAAAGTAAGGAAAATTGAAATCCATTTGAACACAGGGAAATAGCAAATAAACTAGGGAAAGTTCACGTTGATTAAAATTAGTCTCTTGTGAAATCCAGTGCCTGGTACGTAGTGGGCACTTAAACCCTTCTTGGATGGCATAGGAAGGAAGGAGGGAAAAAAGGTTGATTAGCCATATTGCCTCTACTTACTGAAAGTCCCTATTATTGTGATAATCAAAAGGTGAGTAAAGTTACACTTGCCTCACATGAATATTTTTATTATAGTTTCATATTTTATGCTTTAAAAATGAAAATATAGTTAGAATCAACATTTTTCATGGAACTCCTATTTTCACCAACTAGGGTTTCTTGTAACTATTATATGGGAAGAGTGCTTTAGATGTGTACATTCATATATATTTCATGTGGGAGACTTAATATGAATGAGAGAAAAACTGAATTATATAATTCATTTTTGTAGCTTTCTTACTTTTAAGTATTTATTCTAGCAGAGTTTAGTAGAGGATACTAATGTATAAGAGATGTATATTTCACATTGTAACACATCATCCTTTTTTTCCTGGTACTTTTTTACCTTTTTGATTGTATATATGCTATGTTATGCTATTATATATTTTTGTCTTTTACTATATGTTTGTCATCAGTGTATGTTGTTATTTTGGTTCTGTATTCTTTATCACTTCATATGTTTTCCTATTTTTCTTTGAGATTCTCCATATTCTTTATTTTATAGACCATACTTTGTCTAACCATTCTCCAATTGATGGTCCTCTAGTTTTCTTTCCATTATTTGCCATTGGAAATAATGCCATTGACAGTATTTGGGGGGGGTATCATCCTAATATTGAGACCACTGGGTGAAGGATATGCTTGTTTTTTATAACTCTTAACTCTGTCATTTCATAATACTTTCCAAAAAGATTGGGTCAATTCACAACTTCACTGATTGTGCAATAAATAGCACACCTGTTTTTATTATGGCTGCATCAAATTTTGTGATAGTTTATTTTTTTTTCCAATTTGATCAGAGTCGGATGGAATTTTGGTTCTTTTAAATTGCATTTTTCTGATTATTAGAGATTTTAAAATCTTGTGATTGTTGATAGTTTTAAGAACTGTGTTTATAACCTTTGACCGTTTCACAACCAGAAAATAGCCATTAGGAATTGATGTCAGTTCTTATAAATTTTGGATGTCAGACTTTTAGCAATTGTTTCAC